TCTCATGGTCTCTCCTGCCCAGGCTGGCTTTGAACCGCGATCCTCAGATCTCAGCCTCCTGAGTAGCTAGGATTACAGGCGTGAGCCACCAGCGCCTGGTTCCATTAACTGTCCTTTGAGTATAAGCCTAGCACCTCAAAGTATAAACTTTCTTCTACCATTTCCATCATGTGCCCTTGGCCAGAAGAGAAGCCAAGTACAAATTAGAGAAGTACTCTCCTGGCTGACATAGATCATACTTCAGCTGTGAATATATTCTGGTGGAGAATGATACCCATGCTAGTTATATATACAGAAATAGTCTTTGCTTCACAGCAATGGCTGTGGCTCAGATGATCTCCAAAAAGGATTTCAGAGACCAGATTACAAATGTGATTGAACAAGAGTAAGAATCACACAGGTGAAAAGAGAATGACCATGAATGTGGGGGAAAGAAGCCAAAAGCCAACATCTCCAAGGGCAGGGAAGACTAGAAAACAAAGCCATGTTCTTAGATTTAAGAGCTCTGTTTACCAACACCTAAGTTGTCAGTTCTGTCTCTACCCCACCCCCACACCCTCAGTCCTAGGGTTTGAACTCAGGGCCTGGACACTGCCCCTGACTTCCTTTTTGCTCAAGGGTAGCTTGAGCTACAGCATCACTTCTGGCTTTTTCTGTTTATGTGGTGCTGAGGAATCAAACCCAGGGCTTCATGCATACTAGGCAAGCACTCTACCACTGGTTGTCCAACTTAACACTTTTTGAGTGATTTTAGGTTTGTGCTTACCACTGTCACACTACTACTGATCCTGTGAACTGAGTTCTTTGAGAAGTTCCTTTGAATAGCCTTAGCCTTAGCAGTAAGCCTAATTTTTAAAAATCAAGAATGCTTCACTACATTCTGTAGAACAAGTAAAACTGTTAACTTTTAACCAAGTTACATTACTAATAACAGGCAGATACATGGAAGACAGTAAAGACCTCTTTTACACTTCTTAAAATATTTTTTATTTAATGTCATTTTTTTCTTTATTATGTTGTTAATTCCATCAAATATAACCATTCAGGATTGTTGGTTTTTTTTAAACCATATCATGTAAAATTACCATGAACAATTAAGTTTATATAGACATTATTTTCCATGTTTTCTGACTACCATAATTTTAAGTTTGGTTCTGTGTATTGTCAGTGTTGATATATTCAGAAATATATGTTTTTTGTTTGTTTTTTGTTTTTGCCAGTGCTGGGGCTTGAACTCAGGGCCTGGACACTGTCCCTGAACTTCTTTTGCTCAAGGCTAGCACTCTACCACATTAGCCACAGCGCCACTTCCTGCTTTTTCTGTTTATGTGGTATTAAGGAATTGAACCCAGGGTTTTATGCATGCTAGGCAAGCACTCTACCAAATAAGCCACATTCCCAGCCTTACAGTATAATTTATGAGACAAGCTTCAGACCCAAAAGTCTTACTTTGAGTCCTTATGTCTGTGGGTAAGCTAACCTATTAAAACCTTGAGTCTAAAACCAGGAAGGACTACAGGGTTACCATATGAATCAATTAAGTCAATATACATTAAATTCTTTTGATGACTGTAAAGTACTTAGGATGACAATTACAGATCAGTCAGTAAAGCTAGCCACCAAAATAATACTCATGCCTGTAACCAGAAGCTTTTAAATAAGCAAGCTTAACAGTAGTCAGGTAAGTAAACAAAGGCTATAGTACACAGTACGTTTCTAGCCTACTCTACTGGGTCTAATCTTTGGGAAGACTTTATTTTAAGGGAAAAAGAAACCTCAGTTAATATATCTGTTAGTGTCTATACAAACAAGATGCAACTAATTCAAAAATAGGAGGGTTTTTCCCTCTGAGAAGAGTGCATTCTTTAATAGAATTATATTTAAGTAAGAACTCCATACAAATAGCATACCTTAACACAGGAGAGCAAGGAAGAAATATTTTACACTGAACATTCAGGTGATTTGACCAAGTTATCCCTCCCTCCAACCAAATACTTTTTTTTTAATATTACAGTTGTTACAGTCAGTTCTGTATATGACATCAATCACAGTTTTTACATGTCACATGAAGCACACCTGACTGTTGACGGAGAGACACGATGATGTCTTGGTTTCAAAGGAGCTGGAATGATTGAGTTATTGCCTGCTTTTTAATGTTTCAACCAGCCTATGAAGAGAAAATGAAGAGTTTCATAGATGAGCTTTCAGGTACAAAGCATGAACATTTACAATATAGATTTCATAGTCAAGGTAGACTCTTAAGCACTTAAAATGTTAGTGCTTAGGGTCTCTAAGCACTTTATTAGGTCATTATCTCTCTCTGTTTTGCCCAAATAATAGAAAAAAAATTTTTCTAGGTTGCTACTAGTGCAGGGCCACATGTGGCTGGCTCAGAGGGAAACTAGTCTCAGAGTTCTCAAGAAGCTCATTATCCAATAAGCCGCTGCACAAACCAAACTAATCTGCTTTGAATAACAATATACTGAAGGATAAGGTATTTTAGACAGGGAAGTAAGCAAGAGACTAGAAAATAGTTTCTCTGATCAGGTAGGTGGCTCAAAGACAGATGCACATGAAGACCACTGGGAGAAAAAGCTGAAGGAACAAATGATCTCAAAGCCAGCCTGGGCCACACAGTGATGACCCATTTGAAATAAATCAAAAGGAGCCAGGTGCTGGTGGCTCATACCTGTAATCCTAGCTACTCAGGAGGCTGAAATCTGAGGATCGAGGTTCAAAGCCAGCTCAGGCAGGAAAGTCTATGAGACTCATCTCCCATGAGCTACCAAAAAGTTGGCTCAAAGCGGTAGAGTATTAGCCTTGACCACAAAAGCTCAGGAGCTGGGAAGGTGGCTCAGTGGTAGAGCGCTTCCCTTGCATGCCTGAGGCCCTGGGTTCGATTCCTCAGCACCACATAAGCAAAAAAAGAAAAAAGCCAGAAATGGCGCTGTGGCTCAAGTGGTAGAGTGCTAGCCTTGAGCTGAGGGACAGCGCCCAGGCCCAGAGTTCAGGCCCCACGACCAGACCCCCCCCCCAAAAAAAAAAAAGCTCAGGGACAGTGCCCAAGACCTGAGTTCAAGCCCCAGAACTGGCACAAATTAATCCAAAGGAAAATTTTGTCCCGACGGTTTCTCATGTGCACACAGTTGTGAGCATACACAAATATACACATGGCTTCCAGAAACATGATACTTGCCATTCCATTGCCTCATCAAGGCCAGTGCCTTTGGTTGCTGATGTTTTGAATATCTGCCATTTCCGATCCTTCAAGGCAGGTAACCCAAGTGAATTTGCCATCTCTGAGGGGGTCATAGCCTGCTCCATGTCCTGCTTATTTGCAAACACCACTAAAATGGCTTTTCTCAGCTCTTCCTCCTAGATAAAATGGAAGATAATGTATTTCCTCTAATTAGTTTGCTTTGTAAGTTTGAGAAGAAATGCCAAATAACACATTAAAAGGATATTCTCTACAATGGTCATAAATTAATTCAAAATTAGAGAGAAGCATTAAAAAAAAAAGTACAGGTGCTGGGAAGATGGCTTAGTGGTTGAGTGCTTGCCTAGCCTGTATGAAGCCCTGGGTTTGATTCCTCAGTACCACATAAGCAGAAAAGACGAAGTGGTGCTGTGGCTCAAGTGGTAGAATGCTACCTTCAGCAAAAGAAGATCAGGGACAGTGCCCATCCACTCCCTAAGTTCAAGCTCCAGGACTTGGGGGTGGGGGGGAGAAGTCATGCTGGGCACCTGTGGCTCACGCCTGTAATCCTAGCTACTCAGGAGGCTGAAATCTGAGGATCATAGTTCAAAGCCAATCTGGGCAAGAAAGTCCATGAGACTTTTTTTTTTTTTTGTCGGTTGGGGGGCTTGAACTCTGGGCCTGGGCGCTGTCCCTCAGCTCTTCAGCTCAAGGCGAGCGCTCTACCACTTGAGCTACAGCGCCACTTCCGGTTTTCTGGTGGTTTATTGGAGATAGGAGTCTCACGGTCTCTCCTACCCGGGCTTGGCTTTGAACCGGGATCCTCAGATCTCAGCCTCCTGAGTAGCTAGGATTACAGGCGTGAGCCACCAGCGCCCGGCTCCATGAGACTCTTATCTCCAATTAACCACCAGAAAACCAGAAGTAGCAATGTGGCTCAAGTGGTAGAGCACTTGCCTTGAGCTGAAGAGCTCAGGGACAGCCCCCAGGCCCAGAGTTCAAACCCCATGACTGACCAAAAAAAAAAAAAAATACAAGTTTCACCTATAGTATTACCTTCCTAACAGGATCTCTGTTGACAGTCTGAACATTTTTCTGAATACTGCATTATGCAAATATTTCACTTAATAAATCAACATATTTCAGTTTGCATTTATATATAGGTCTATATCTTCTTTAAAAATACCCTTCTTGATGAGTTAGGAGTGATGGGTAACAATGTTGTCAGACACCTTGTACTCATACTGTTGTATAGAATGGGAACTTCTTTGTACAACTACTTAAAGATATAATAATTTTTTTAATGTAAAAAGTACCCTTCTTGTGGGCTCACACCTGTAATCCTAGCTACTCATGAGGCTGAGATTTGAGGATCATGGTTCAAAGCCAGCCCAGGCAGGAAAGTCCCTGAAACTCTTTTCTCCCAATAAACTACTCAAAAAAGCTGGAAATGGTGCTGTGGCTCTAGTGGTAGAGTGCTCACCTTGAGCAAAAAAAGCTCAGACAGCATCCAGGCCTAGAGTACAAGCCCAGAATACACAGTGCTCAGAACTAGAATACTTCTGAAACAGCTGAAAGTCATAGAAATAGCAAGCAAATATAAATTAATGCCCCATGCTTTAATGTAGTAGTTTGCTTACCTCCAACATGGCAACTAATTCTGACTTGGAAATGCCAATTCTGTCTCGGTCACAACTGTCTACCACATAAATGACTGCATCTGTGTTGGAATAATAACACCTCCAATATGGCCTAAAGGAAATTCAGAGGGGAAGAATATATTTAAAAGACATGTCAGTTTCCATGGTAGACTCAAGACAATGATGGAGAAATAGTGGCAATCAAATGCTAATCCTGCCCAGGACTGTCCAATCAGGATGCAGTGATTTGCTGCTCCTGATGGATAGACAGCTCCTACCCCTCCCATGTAATGGTGCTGGAACCCATTAAACATCATAGGAAGCCGGGCGCTAGTGGCTCACACCTGTAATCCTAGCTATTCAGGAGGCTGAGATCTGAGTGAGGATTGTGGTCTGCAGCCAGCGTGGGCAGTAAAGTCCATGAGACTTTTATCTCCAATTAACCACCAGACAACTGGAAGTGGAGCTGTGGCTCAAGTGGTAGAGCACTTACTTGCCTTGAGCTGAAGAGCTCAGGGACAGAGACCAGCCAGGCCCAGAGTTCAAGCCCCATGACCGACAAAAATTAAAAAATAAACATCACAGGAGCAGGGAATTCCAAACTAGTTCATACTTCATTCAGGCCAACAGTGTATTTACATTCTATAAAATCACTAGATGTTCTGGTAAAAAAATATCGAACACAGACCCGATCATTAAAATGTTTAAGCAAGAATCCTTTATCAGGGATGGACTTTCTGCTATTTTGATTTTATGTAACTCACTATTCATTGATAATACTTACTAAGAAGTAGAAAAGACTAAAATTAGGAATAAACTCAAAAGTGACTTAAGAAATGAAATGAGCTAAAGGCAGGCATTTAGGGAATGTAATATGAATCTCTTTAAGATGGTGCTATAGTGAACTATGATTGTCAGTTACCAAGTATTCACAATTGTCACATCAAGTCCCAAAATGCAGGAGGCATCTATGTTTACATTAGCTCTAAATAGCATTGTTATGTCTGTTTCACAGAGGTGGGAGCTAACAAGAGTAAATGGAAATAAGCATTTCAGCTGAAAACTACTAAAGTAATTAGACCTTCCTATTTTCATGAAAAGGTTTTCATTTAACTGGCTTCCTTGCGTCTTAACTCAATGGATACTCTGAGGAAATAGAAAATTTCAGATTTTAAACCAGGAGCTCCCATCTAGTTTATATCAGATAATATATTTTGGTTCACTGCTGATAACACGCAGAAGAATCCATAAATATTAAATACCACAAAATGATCTGATGTGCATACCATACCTGATACTTGTCTGTCCTCCTAGGTCCCACACTTGGAATTTAAGGTTTTTGTATGTCACAGTCTCTACATTAAATCCGATAGCTGCAAGAGAAATCACATCAGTAGCATTTGTAGACTAATGTACTCTACCTTCAAAGTATCCAATCTATATAAGTTTTTGCAATTAATAACAATTGCCAAATCACAATTATTGCCTGAGATATTATTGAAGATAAACTATTTTGAGAAAGATAAACATATACCCCATCAATTAGCAAGATGAGCACTGCCCTCAACTTATAAAAGAATCCCTTGAGCTGGTACCAGTGGCTCGTGCCTATAATCCTACTCATGAGGCTGAGATCTGAGGATCCTGGTTGAAAGCCACTCACAGCAGAAAAGTCTGTGAAATTTTTATCTCCAATTAGCCAACAGAAAGCCAAGCATGGAGAAGTGGCTCAAGTGGTAGACTACCTGCTTTGAATGAAAAGGCCAAACAAGAATTTAAGGCTCTGAGTTCAAACCCCAGAAATGGCATAAACAACAAACAAAAAAAGCTTAGTTTTGTTTCCTAGTCCTGAGCCTTGAATTCAGGACCTACGCATTGTCCCCGAGCTTTTTCACTCAAGGCTAGTACTCTAGCACTTTGACTCACAGAGCCATTTCTAGTTTTCTGGTGGCTAATTGGAGCTAAGAGACTCACAGACTTTCCTGCCCAGCCTGGCTTTGAACTTTGATCTTGAGAGCTCAGCTTCCTGAGTAGCTAGGATTATAGGCATGAACCACCAGTGCCCCATATTTTTTTTTTAATTTTGAAGCTTAAACAGTAGTTACAGAGAAATAAAAATACTCCTATTTGGGTAACTGTAGAAGCATAGCAAACTGGGAAATCCATTTAGTTTAATCGTATTTACCTCTATAAGTTAGGTCAGCAATGAAAACATTTAAGCAACAATAGCATTCTTTGTTGTTGTTGGTTGTGGGGCCTGAACTCTGGGCCTGGTTGCTGTTCCTTGGCTTTTCAGCTCAAGGTTAGGCTATACCACTTGAGCCACAGCGCCACTTCCAGCTTTTTCTGCTTATGTGGTGCTGAGGAATCAAACCCACGGCTTCATGCTTGCATGCAAGGCAAGCGCTCTACCACTGAGCCACCATCTCAGCCCATCAATAGCATTCTTAATGTAATCAAGCAGGGCTATTTGCAAATTATTTTTTAAGATAGCAACAATACACAAGGCCCTGGGTTTGATCCTCACCACTACAGAAAAAGAAAAAAAAAGCAACAATTGACTTAAAATTTTTAAGTACCAGTTTTGCATTTGGTCTGTATAATCAAAATTTTAAGTAACCAAAGTAACGGAAGAGAAAATAATCATAATTAAAATAGTAGCAAATGCAGAAAAAAGTACTAATTTGTATTGTTACTTACCATCTACATAATTCCCTACACAAGTTAACAGAGTACTCTTACTACTTAATTTATTTCCTCTTCAAAGCTAGGAGATACCTACATTTCAGCAGCAAAGATACTGATTCTCAGACTTGAGTATTGAAGCCAGCTTTAGCTCTAAATAACAGATCTGGCTCAGCACCACGACAGGTATACAGAACATCAAAATGCCTCTCAGTTGATGAAAAAGGTGTTAATATTATGTTCATAGTAGAAATATGCAAACTTAACTAACTTACTATATAATTTACCCATAAAATTTTCTTAGATGGAACCCAGAGAACTGCTACAATTAGCTTATTATGCCAACACTTACTAGGAATAGTAGTAACGACTTCTCCAACCTGTAATCGGTATAAAATTGTGGTTTTTCCAGCACCATCTAATCCCAAAATCAAAATCCTCATTTCCCGGGTTCCAAAGAGACTGGAAAAAATACTTGAGAAAAAGCCACCTACAAGATAATACAAAGCGAAAATGTATTCCATGTTCTTTTTCAAAATTAGGTCCACAAAGCATTCAATTTCAACTTTGAAAAAGCTATACACCAAATGAAAGTATATTTTCCTAGATGGTAAGTAGGTAATTTTTGTTTCTAATGAAATATATCAGTCAAAATTACTAGGTTCTAGTATCGTACCAAGCAGGCAGAAAACGACACACTACATAATTAAAAACGCAGCTGCAGCCTTTGTGGAGTTGATTTTCTAACCACAAGAACAGGGATAGCTTCGCATCGTCTCCAGGCCAACTGGTTAAACCTAAGGGCCAGTCAGAGGGGCACTGGAACAATGAAAGGCATTTACTCTTAAACAGCAGCAGTACCCCATCACCATCTTGAGCCACCAAGAGTTCTCCTCTACTCAATACACCCAGCACTTGAAACTAAAATAGCACCACCACTGATGGAAAAACTCACTTTAAAAACCAGATCTAGATCTACGTTCACTGCATCCCTGGGTTCTGTGCAGTAGGAAAGTTCTTTGTGGCACATTCTCTCTCCCATTAAAAGCTGCCACAGGTTTGTTTAAGTTACATCAAGAGTATGAAAAACCAGGTGCTGGTGTGCACACCTGTCTCAGCGCTCAGGAGAAACACACAGGATTTGAGGCCAGCTGGGCACCATGAATACACGGACATGGACACATGCACGTGCATGCGCGTATACGGGCATGTATGAAATAGGAAAGCGCAATTCGCGATGCCACACCACACTTGGCTATTTGCAAAAGAAACGGCACAGTTCAAAGCCTCGGGTCTGGAAAAAGGCGCACGGGAACGTGGAGCCGGGTTGGGTGCGACCTGGCACACCGTGTCTCCCGTTCACAGGTCGGGGAGGCGGAAGGACCGGGCTACACAGGCTCACAGAGGCCGGGGCAGCGCAGGCCGGTGCTCGGGAGCAGGAAGTGGACGCTGCCGGGAACAGCGCACCGGGAGGGAGG